AACTCGATCTGTCTTCTCGAATCGCTCTCTGGGCTCCCTGTACAGGCAACCCACTAAATTGGTGACCCCGCCACTGGAACAATCCCAGCGCCGGATATTCGAAACTTTTCTCTGGTGAGCTCGTTCCATTTATTTTTCATATTTTCGGGTTTATTTTTAAATACAATGGCCTATTTTTGCGTCATTTTTTAAGCCATGGAATCTGTAGACCATAAGGTAGAGTCTCTGCTTAGCTTTGTATCTCTCTCTGTACCACCTTTTTGGGACATGGATCTTCTTTTGTGGTTCGCTCTTCTTGACGCTGTGTTTTACAACCACAGAATTACTTCCGACTACGCGAAGTATTGCAAGCTCCTGTCCTATCTCCCCAAGGAGGTATCAATGCAGGTCCATGACGTCATCATTCCTCAGACCGAAAACCGCTATGAGGCTCTCAAGGAAGCCACGATTAGGCGTGTTATGCCCTTTGAGAAAGCTCGATTGCAACAGCTTTTCAGGGATCTGCAGCTGGGCGACACTGCCCTCAACCCTGCTACGGGAGATGCAGCAACTCCTTGGTTCCTCAGCGATGGACGAGACTTTACTTCGCGAACTATGGCTACAACGGCTACCGGAAAACACGCAAGCTACAGTGAGCTCCGTTTCGCTCACTCAACTAGCAGATTTAGCGGATCGAGGTATCGGGCGCTCACAGCCATAAGCCAACGCCAGCAAGACGAATGCCGTCGCGTCCCAGGGCACTTCTAGCACTGGCTTACAGTCAACTATAGAAGCCCTGCAAACACAAGTCGCGGCACTTAGTCGCCAGGTTCAACAGCTTACTATGAACTGTCGTCGTCCTAGCCGATCAAAGGCGCCCTGCAAACGTTCTAAGTCTAGCAGCCGGCAAGCTAGCCGTTGGTACCATCAGCGCTTTGGTACCGCAGCTCGGAAATGTATCAAACCTTGCAGCTTCGCTGAGAAGCAGGGAAACCTCGGCCGGTCCGTAACGGCGACGGACGCGCCTGGCCAACACCAAAGTCGCCTCATCCGCGTTAGGGATTTAACTTCCGGCACCGAACTTCTAGTCGACACTGGTGCCGAAGTTAGTGTTATACCCGTAGCCCAGATGAGGTCATCTCACCATCGCCGACTAAGCTGCGCGCGGCCAATGGCACACCAATCGCAACTTTCGGCGAAAAGCTGCTAATGCTCAATTTATGCCTCCGGAGAACCTTTCGCTGCCCTTTCATTATAGCAGCCGTGCCTTTCGCTATCATAGGCATAGACTTTCTCCAACGCTTTGACCTCATTGTCGACGCTAAACGTAAGAAGCTTATTGACTCCAGGACACAGCTCAGCGTTATCGGGACTAGCGCCAACGTGGCTGCTATCACTCCCACTCGTGTCCTACCTCAAGCTTCACAGCCTTTTCTAGAACTTTTCAGCAAGCATCCTAAACTCGTTCGCGTCCTGAACGACTTGCTTCCTGTGACGTCAAATGTCATGCATCACATCTGCACTAAGGGCCCACCTGTTTCGGCCCGCCCTCGCCGACTAGCCCCGGACAAGCTCAAAGCTGCTAAGGCGGAATTCGAGCAAATGCTCGAACTGGGAATCATTCGCCCGTCCAAAAGTCCATGGGCATCACCATTACACATGGTAGCGAAGAAATCCGGTGACTGGCGCCCCTGTGGTGACTACAGGGCACTTAACAAAGTTACCGTCCCGGATAAGTACCCCATTCCGCACATGCAAGACTTGACCTCAGCTCTAGCTGGCAAGTCTATCTTTAGCAAAGTCGACCTAGTCCGAGCCTACTATCAGATACCTGTCGCGCCAGACGACATTGCTAAAACAGCAGTCATAACGCTCTTCGGCCTATTCGAGTACCTCAGAATGCCTTTCGGCCTCAGCAACGCTGCCCAAACTTTTCAGCGTTTCATCCATGAGGTAACGTGAGGACTCGAAGGCGTTTATCCTTATCTAGATGACAATCTCATCGCCAGCTCTTCTGACGAGGAACATCTTCATCACTTCGACACTCTCTTTCAATGCTTAACACAGCATGGGGTTACCGTCAACCCCGATAAATGCGAGCTTGGCCAAAGTTCCATCGACTTTCTTGGCCACCGCATATCCGCCTCTGGTATTGAAGCTCTGCCAGACGAAATCCAGGCATTGAAGGACTATCCTGCTCCCAGTTCCTTCAAACAGTTATGCCGATTCCTTGGCCTGGTAAACTATTATTGACGCTTTATTCCTAACTGCGCGAGCATTGTTCAACCAATGACTGACTTGCTCCGCGGTAAACAACGGCCTTTTTATTTTCCAGACGACGCTAGACTGTCTTTTGAGAAGCTCAAAGACGCTATCTCCAACATAGCGTTTCTCGCCCATCCAGACACGTCTGCACCACTCTCTCTGACAACTGACGCCTCCGACACTGCCGTCGGTGCAGTTCTTCAACAACTCATTGACCAGCGATGGATACCTCTAGGTTTCTTTTCGAAACGTTTATAACCTGCCGAATCGCGTTACAGCACCTTCGATAGGGAACTGTTAGCCATCTACCTAGGTATCACATTTTCGTCACTATCTCGAAGGTCGACATTTTACAGTCTTCACTGACCACAAGCCGTTGATCTACGCAATCAGTGGCGCAACGGGCAAGTATTCTCCGCGGGAAACTAGACACCTAGACTACGTCTCTCAGTTTACGACAGACGTACAATATGTCTCAGGTGCTCTCAATCCCGTTGCGGCTGCACTTTCACGCATTCAGCAGATCAGCTTATCGCCTGGCACCAACATTGATCTAGCCGCTATGGCTGCTGCCCAACAAGCTGATCCCGACATAAGCAAGACACGACGCAACACCACTGAGACGATCACCATCGATCGATTCAAGCCAGCATTCCTCGACAAGTCTGACTCTTCGGTGCAGCAAGCACCTTCACAGTCTGTGCCATCACAGCTCGCACCGCAACCTCAGACGAGTCAGTCCGCTCCAGCAGAACCGACGACCTCAACTGATAGTACTCTTACTCGCCCTACTATCAATAGACGCGGCAGGAAGCTCAAGCCTCCGGTTCGTTTTTCGGACTTCGCACGCACTTACTATTTTACATAGGACGTGCCTTTAAAATTTTCTGCTCCTACCAAACGTTTTTGAAAATCCACAAAAAGATCAAAACGTTTTGAAACTACCACAAAAGAGCGAAACCTTTTGAAAACCCAAAAACCGCTTTGCACGTTTTTCGCTTTGCAATGTTTTGTGTATGGCTATGCATTTACGCTGCTTTTTCATTTTACTTTCCATATACACCGCCGGTTGGTTGCATCTCGGTTTCACTTCCGCTGGATCTCCGCACGTCAACTGCGAGTGGAACGAACTTCCTGTTCAACCGCCCAAAAGAACTTTACTAACTGTCCCCCCCATCACAAACAGTTTTTACCGTTCCGACGCCGTGGGGAGGACACGGGTGGGAGCCCGCTAGGATCCAATTGCATGGTTCTCCCCCAGCAGCTGCATCAGATTTCATAACCTGGTCTCGCAGAAGGCTGGCCCGCGACGGACAGTCCTCATGTAGGTCGAAGGACTGCTTACACAGTCCCTTCTGGGAGAGGGCTATGTAGCAGTCTGGAGGTTCCCCGGTTTGCCTGTGTAAAATTCTAACTAACACTCTTTAATTGTACACCTAGGCGACCGGTGTGGTTTGTTGAACTGCTTGCTGAGTTCGAATGCTTCACTTGCTCATCGCCATTTTTGCTGGGCGCTCGTTTCGGTTGCAACTCGCAACTGCCCTGTGTGCTGTGCTTGCTCCGTTCCCCTAGCTAGAGCGAACGCGGTGTCGTTCTTTTATAGCTATGTAACAAGGAATCTTTTACTGTATCAATAAAAGTTTCCCTGCAACGCGATCCGTCTTCTCGAATCGCTCACTGGGCTCCCGGTACAGGCGACCCTCTAAAGACCTCAAACCGATTCATGACACCCAGAAGAGGGTCGCCGCGGCCTACAGGATGTTCCATTCTATACTTAGATGGTTTTCTCTCCTGACCCCGGGACTTTTCCGACCCCTCTATGGCTCGCATGTACGCCCGATTCTCGAATACGGGCTAACTGCTGCCTACCCTCTCACCAACTCCGAATGTGGTATGATAGAGTAGGTTCAACGGCGTGGATCTAAATCCGTCTCTGAGTTGTGAGACCTGTCGTATGCACACCGACTTCAACGACTGAACTTGTTCTCTTTAGGTTACCGCCATCACCGAGGAGATTTCACATTCACTCGAAGTATTCTCAGAGGAGAACTGGGTTGCGAGTTACAGGGCTTCTTTCAACTCAACACTGAGAGTTTGACACCAGGCCACCGCATGAAACTGTACAAACCGAGGATTCTCCGTGTGCGGCTCAATTTGGCCTTATCAACTCGCGTGGTGAATGATTGGAACCGGTTGCCGGATGCTATTGTTGTTGATGCTGAGACAGAGGAACGTTTCAAACAACTGATGGATTCTCACCTGAGCGCGCTGGGATTCTGCCGCCTCTAAGACAGCTACAGTGGTCCTCTGCGGAACCTTCTACCGCAATGACGCACGCCATCTCCGCAATGATCGGGAAGTGAAGGAGCTGACAAAGGATCTTCATTCTGCTCTCTATCATCCAATGATCCAATGAAGATGTGTATCGGTCACAAAAAGAGTCATACAAGTGTATAAGCATATAACCAAAAAATATGTGACAATCATAAAAGAAGGTTAATAAATGAGTAGAATAGTTACCAGAGATGTTCCATGGGATCCACTGATCTACACCAGTGTACCCAGCAACCTAGCCAATCTCCCTACGTTTACGTCTAGTGAGACTGACGGGACAGGCTTTTAAGGCTTTCAGCTGTAGGATTGATTCTACGTTTTCATACTTTTCGTTATATTCAACCGGGTGGTGTACGTTTACTGACTTATTTCCTTTTCACCTGTTAGGTTGGTGGCATTAACGTTTTTCACCACTCTTCTGAATGTCCGAGGTGCAGCCTGCATCCCCCACTGCGGAGACCAAGTATGGGGGCGCCGAAGGTTCGGATGCGATGTATGTAAAACTGGTGTCGTCTGATGACCACGAATTTTATGTGCGTCGCGAGTATGCCCTTACCAGTGGAACTATCAAAGCAATGCTTTCCGGACCAGGTAGATTCCGTAACGCATTCACGATTCCATTTCTCTACATCTTGGACGACAGCTCGTTGCATCTGAACATGCGTGTCTTAGTTCCATGGACTGTTATTATAATAACTGGTTGCTTGCAATGTAAATTTCTTATTACCTGATTGTTGCTGTTGATTATATGTCACCTAAAGTGGTCTTGCCGGTCCGATATGCGATAGCCATTTGTACAGCCACATGCTGAGGCTGATGTTGCATTCATGATGCTTATTTGCCGCAGTTGGGTTAAACCAACTTACACTAAAACTAGGTCTTTTTAAGCTGAATAAATTTCGTTGCACTTTTTTGGTTCGTTCTGCCTACCTGAATAACCTGCTAACTTGCACACATTTCTTACGCCAATTGTGCTCATCTTCCTTAACTTTATCGCATTTGTAGCATTTATTAAATAACTTGTAGACCTTTTGTACTTATACGGACTCATTGCTAACTATCCTACTTTATATGCTAATTTAGCGAAGAGTTATGCCACCGTATCTGTGTGCATTATTCGATTTATTTTGTTTCATCTTGTCGTTTCAAGTGATTGGCTGTTGCTTGGTATCCCCAGTATGGATACGCTTAATGTGCATATTGACTAGGTGCGAAGGTTTGCTTGCCTCCTTGACCCATTGGGTGGTGCCTGCAGGTATCTTGAGAGATACTTCTACCAGGTTAGTCAGTGATGAGAGGTCAGACAAACTCAATCCTCCAGATTAGGGGTTTGAAATGGGATGGCATCCGTTTCTCTAAAACTAAATCATTGCCACCTTCCCGCTACCATGCGGACAATGACTGCTTAACACCCTAATCGTCCTGTCTAGGTCTGGGCGCCCTGGCATTATCCCAGCCCACCTACAACCATGACATCTTCTTCAAACATAAACTTCATCCTGTACCGGCCGTTGCGCAGATTATCAAGCGTTGCTTTATCTGCTGCATACAGCAGGGTGGATAGGCGAAAACATGCTACTGCTGGCGCCTCCTTTATTTTTTACCTGTTTCTCTTACTCTCATCCCGACCCTCATTACTAACCTCCCTTCTATAATTCCCTTTAATAATTGACAGAAACGGAAGTGCCGCTGGAGTAGAACCATCTGCAGCCACCTTTCCACAACACCCAGCGGACGCCTATTGGTAGCGGTCCCTTATAAGTTCACGCTGTCTCGTTTCCCTGGCGACGTTCAACGTCCGCACGTTGGGTATTCATGTGTTATGTGTCCGAAACTAGGATCATTGATCTTAATGGGATTGTTGAATTAACTGCGCCCGGCTTTTCTTGTCGCTATTGGTTGCACTCACCTGGAAACGCCGATGTAGCACTCACGGGTCAGGCTGGTGTAGGTATTATTCTAAGCTCCAAAGTTTAGCCATCGTTGGTTGATTGGATTCCAGTAAACAGCCGTTTATGTGCAGCCCGTTTGACGACATCAACTAAGATTGCTCCCGAAGTAGTACGAAAAGTTAATTTGTCATTACCGCTTATGCTCACACCGACTGCAGTTCTAATACTGCCAAGGACACATTCTATCACGAACTGAACGCGCTACTAGGCAGTGCTACTAGTTCAGATATTATAGTACTTGCAGGGGATATGAACGCACAAGTAGGGCGTCTGAGCTCTTCAGAAGCTCAGCTGGGTGGTAATTGTGGGCTTAACTCCGAACGGACTGACAAGGTGAGCGTCTGTTACAACTGTGTGCGGAGCACCAGTTCTTAGTAGCACTGCTTTTAAACACAATGGACGCCAAAGTGCCATTTGGCCTCCCTCTGTAAATGGCCAGCATCATCATTACACACGTCAGCTAGAGGTGGGAACACCTCAGCTACTGTGCTGCAATACACAAATGAAAAAGAAATACAAAGGTTGCATGCCAGCTGAGCTACCAGCAATGAATAGGCATGGTTCCGGTAAGCTACCAGCGGACTACTAGGAGAAAAGGAAAATTATTATGTTTTACGCTGAAATGAGATCGTAGGTGGAGGGGGAGGCTAAAAGGGATGGGGAGGGACAAAGAAATTCACAGCACGAACGCCACTGAGGTTGGCTCCTTGCCATGTCAGCAAGTGTATCCAGCCAAACGTGTTCACCGTCTTTTGGACCCCAACCAGAGAGCCGTGAAGCTCCAAACGAGGCTAGCTCCGAAGTGAGGGCCTTCATTCCCCTGGACCAAATCATCGCTTGGCCACCCCTCCTCTTCTTCCATCCACATCCGCGGTGAGCAAACAACGCACATCGTGCAAGTCGGTGGGCTGGCATGCGCAACATGTGGCCCAGCCATCGGAGACTTGTGCGTGAAAACACTGTGCTGAGCGATTCAGTTCTTTTTTCTCTGCCGTAAACAAGGCGTCGAACATGCTCGTTACTCACGCGATGTCCCCACCAGATGCGAGCCAAACTGCGAAGGTACCGATGATCGAATGTAACTAGCCGCTGAAATTAAAGGCCAGATTTCGCAACCGTCGAACGTACCGCTACATCGTACATTCTACCCTTCAGTGTGAGAGTAATGTCGCGCCGCCGCCACAGGTGGCGGTTAGCAAAAGCACTTCGAGCTTCTGCTATACGGTTTGTGATCTCGTCTTCAATCCCAAGGGCGCTGATACAACTTCCCAGGTAGTTGAATTTCTGAACGACTTTTGGCTGATCCCCACCAAGCGTCAGGGCAGGAGGCGATCCCTGCCAATCTTGGAAGAACGCTTTACATTTCGATGGTACAAAGCAAAGCCCGAAGCGGCTGACATCCAGTGCTAATCTGTCCAGCGCGGCTTGGCACGTCTGAGAGCTGTCACATGAGAGCAATGTCGTCTGCATACTCCACGTCGAGAAATCGTTCTCCTGGGAGTAGCTCCACACCTTCCAAGTCATGTTTTTTAAATGCAATCTCCATGACTTAGTCAATAGCGAAGTTGAAGAGGAAAGGTGGCAGCGGGCATCCTTGTCTCACACCGCAGGAGATATTGAAGGGTGGCGACAGCTTGCCGTAAGCCCTTACTCTGCCCGTGCTACGCGCGTATAATGCTCGGATAATATTTACATATTTCTCGGGCACACCTTTCCTGAGTAGACAATTCCAAAGGGCACATCGATCAACCTAATCGAAGGCACCTTTGATGTCGAGGGACACGACTACGGTGGGCAACCAATATGTGTGACGGTGCTCCAACAACGGACACAAGGTGAAGATGTGGTCGATGCAGCCACGACCCCGACGAAACCCGGCTTGCTCCTCACGAATCTGGCTTTCACGAGCGCCAGTCAGTCTGTGAAGGATAATAGAGACGAGTAATTTGGAGGCGATGGGGGATCAGACTGATTCCTCTACGGCTGCCGCATTCCGAACGCGAGCCTCGTTTGAAGATGGGAACAATAACGGAGCGGCTCAAGTCGGTTGGGACAGTCTCCTGCTCCCACAGTTTCACCATTAATTCATGTAAAGCATCAACAAGAGCAGAGCCTCCGAATTTGAAGACGGCTGCAGGAAGATCATCTGGTCCCGCGGCTTTGTTCAACTTCAACAGTCCGATCTGACGTTCGACTTCTGAGCGAGAGGGTGGATCCAAAGAGAATCCACGCAGCAGGGCGATCACTGGCCGGCGAAGAATCGAACAATTCTAGCCGATTAAATTGCTTTTCAAATTGCTTAGCCCAACGCTGCAAACGTTTTGACAAATTGTGGATAGGCTGTCCACTCTCGTCACGTACAGTTTCACTAAGACCAGGTCTCCTGCTGCCCCTTTCCCGTATCAGACGGAATAACTTACGATGATTGCCAAGGTCAGCGACTATTTCCATCTCTGATACACGATGAGACCACCAAGATTCGCGGTCTCTCTTCAGGCTAGCACGGAGTCTTGCCCATAGCTCTTTGCGTGTTTCATTGTGTTCGCTTCCAGCCGGAATATACCGCCGAGCATCGATAAGTTCCAGAGACTGCGAAGAAACCCAATAACCATGTTGGCGTTTAGACATACCACATGAGGATTTGCCTGCTGTTGGTAAGGTCTGGTGAACATCTGACCAGTGACCCTCAGTTGTCGCCAGTGAGCACTTACTCAACTCGCATGTCAACGTACTTCGATACACATTCAGAACAGCTGGCTTTGTCAGTTGGTTGGTGTCAATGCGCTCACAGCGTCGTCTTGGGCGTCCGCCAAAACGCATCCGTATGTCAGCACATACAGATGCCTGATCGGTGTCCACACGTGTGCTCCAAATCGAGCGACAGTTCTGGACGCAGCCTGTCCATCGGTAACTTATCGCAATGTGATCGATCTGCGTCCAAGGCTGGGTCGAGGCTGGTGGGTGCCAAGTCACCCTCCGGCAGGTGCTGTGTCGGAAGTTAGTGCTCGCAGGAAATAAGCGAGTATCTTCACACTCACCGCTCACCGTTATCATTACGGGAGCCTACACCGTGCTGACCACCCAAATGCATTTCATCAGTGGATCACTTTCCAACTTGCGCGTTCAGATCCCCAGCAAGCACAACAGTGTCCGAGCTTCTTCTGTGGCGAAGGAGCTAGGTCAGTTGACGGTAAAAGTCGTTCTTTACCGAATCATCACTACAGTTTGTGGGTACGTAGGCAGCGATGATGAATAGACACCTATTAGTCCCGCGCAATTTCAAAGCTTTGAACGAGCCAGCCAGTCGGACCGCACACATCCGGCTACTGATTTGAATCCAATCAACCAGAGCAGCTTCAGCCGGGGACTCAGGGCAATGCTAACACCAGCCTGGCCGGTGCTCGAAGCTGCATTATCACCGGATAGGCGCACTGAGAAAACACTGCTTGCGTCACCTGAAGGGGATCACAGAGTGAGCACAGAGCTCGAGTCTTGCAGGCGGGTCTCCGATAAGCAGCAGATATCGATCGAGAAGGTCTCCAATGTTCGGGCAAGTGCTGCCTGTTGACCGATCTGTAACAATGTGCGTACACTGAGGCATGCCAATCTGAAGGAGGATCAAGGGCTCCAAATGGAAGC